TCTTAGCTCTGGGTTACTGGCATAAGTCCCCTGACTGGAGGGAGGCGTGAGCCTGTTCTCTCTACTGTGCCCTGGTGTCTTCCAAGGACTGTGCCCCGATGCCTGGCCTGCTTGCTTGCCCACCGGGCTCGTCAGGCCAGGGCTTCTGTTGCTTTGTGACCTGGTTGTCCTACCTAGCTGTAGCCCCTCAGGCCCCTTGAAGTGATAGCCACTGCTGGGCGTCTCTGTAGAACCCCCTAGGTCAGTCCAAGACCTGTCAGGAGGCTGTCTATTCCCTGAACCCCATTCTGTGTTTGGGCTCGTGTGGGTTTCTGTACTCTCCCAAAACTCAGGTGTCCCCTGATTTGTGCTAGGGGTGTTGTAGTCGGGACTTGGTTCCTCGACTAGCTCTGTGTATGTTTGACCCCCTGTAGGATTTGGGGTAAGGTCAGGCCAACCTTGGGCATTGTGTGCCAGCTCTCTTGCGGGGAATGATTTGTTGGGATGCCCCCGGGTATCCTCCGTTGCTGGAGTGCTGTGTGCTGTGTGTGGAAAGTGAGTATGCCCCCGGGGTAACTCCCTGGCTGGAGTAGGCGTGAGTGCCTGTTGTGTGGGTAAGCTCCAAGACTTCCTTTTCGGAGCAATTGCAGAATCTTGGGACGAGCCGTTTGTGGCTCCCTCAGTGGCGATGGGCAGTAGCTCTTGCCCTTCCCTTTGCTCCAAAGGGTCCCCCTCCCCCCCTGGAAAAGACCCAGGAGTTTCAGCAGAAAAGTCCCGCCTAGAGCGGAGTTGGTCGATGTGCCGACGCAGGACACGACCGTTGTCCAGGGCAACCTCGTAGGAGAGAGGACCTGTGATCCTGGACACAGAAGCGGGGACCCATGTATGACCAGGCCCGTAATTGCGAGCCCAAACCGGGGCACCCACAAGTAGTTGTCTAGGTGCCCTAGGATGTGAGGTAGATGAAGGCAGTCTGTCCGGATGCAACCGGTCAAGTCTAGTAGTAAGTTGGCGCCCCCAACGAAGTTCAGCTGGACTTCTCCCTGTAGAAGTGGACGGTGTGGTGCGATAAGAAAGGAGAAAGTCAGCCAACCTGTGATGCCAGTCCCCGTAGGTGAGTCTCTTCAAGGCGTCCTTTGCGATGCGCACCATGCGTTCAGCCATACCGTTGGTGGATGGGTGAAAAGGCGCAGATGTGGCATGACGAATCAGGTTTGCCTGTAAGAAAGCTTGGAATTCGGAGGAGGTGAATTGAGGGCCGTTGTCAGACACAATGACATCTGGCAGCCCGTGTGCAGCAAAAATCCCCCTCAGTACCTGAATAGTCTTTGCAGTGGTGGTGGACGAGACAGGCACAACCTCAAGCCATTTTGAATGGCTGTCAACAAGGACCAAGAAGAACTGGCCCTGAAAGGGCCCAGCGTAGTCAATGTGCACCCTAGACCATGGGGACTGTGTTTCCTCCCATTTATGCACAGGAGCTTGGGGCATCTCTGGGCGAGATCGTTGGCACATGTGGCATGCGTGTACCTTAGCCTCAATATCTTTATCTAAAGCAGGCCACCACAAGTGGCTGCGTGCAAGAGCCTTCATGCGAACAATGCCAGGATGACCCTCGTGGAGGGATTCTAAGACCCTAGTCCTCATTGAGGTGGGAATGACAACTCTGTTTCCCCAAAGCAAACAACCCTGAGAAAGGGACAATTCGTTCCTTTTGGACCAGAAACTCTGAAACTCAGGACTAGGGCAGTGCTCAGGCCACCCGGACAGGACCCAGGAGCGGACACGTGAAAGTGTGTGATCTGTACCTGTTTCAGCGGTAACATCCCTGGCACTAAGAGGGAGCTCGGGCAAGGCTTGGATTGATAGAATGTTGACAGCTGGCGCGGGGTCAGCTTCTACTACTGGCAGAGGCAACCTACTGAGGCCATCAGCATGGCCCATTTCTTTCCCAGGCTTGTGGAGTAATGAAAAATCATATGCAGACAAAAAAATAGACCACCTAAGCATTCTAGGGAAATGATGTGGGGAGTCTGCTTACGTGTGGTAAACAGTCCCAGCAGAGGCTTATGGTCAGTGAAGACCGTGAAATGCCTGCCATATAGAAAATCGTGGAATTTTTTAATTCCAGCAACAACAGCCAGAGCCTCCCTGTCTATCTGAGCGTAGTTGCGCTCGGCAGAAGACAATGTTCTGGAGTAGTATGCAATAGGAACCTGAGTTCCATCAGACCTGAGGTGACTCAGGACAGCTCCAACCCCGTAGGGGGATGCATCACAAGCGATGCACACAGGAAGAGACTCGTTGAAATGTGCAAGAACACTGTTAGAAGTGAGCAAGGCCTTGACTTCTTTAAAGCAAGCCTCATGTGCTTGTGACCACAGCCACACAGCTTGTTTGTCTAGTAGCCTGTGAAGAGGCTCAGCTACACTAGCTTTATGTGGAAGAAAAGAATTGTAGAAATTCAGGAGGCCTAAGAAGGCCTGAAGTTCGGCCTTAGACTTTGGCCTGGGTGCTTCTAAAATAGCAGTTAGTTTGGATTCAGCAGGATGAATCCCAGCAGCATCAATTTTGAATCCCAGAAATTCAGTAGAAGGCACCCCAATCTTGCATTTGTCTTTTCTGAGCTTAAGGCCTGATTTCCTGAATCTTAACAGGACAGCCCTAAGCCTTTCAGCTAGAATGTGTGTGGAGTCTCCTGCAATCAAGACATCGTCAAAGTAGGGGCAGACCCCTGGTATACCTCGTAGTGTGTTTTCCATTACGCTTTTGGAAAATCCCAGGAGCGACATTCACTCCAAACTGCAGCCTTTTTACCTTAAAGGCTCCCCTGTGGGTCACAATAGTCTGAGCTATGGCAGCATCATTATCAACAGGCAGCTGTTGATATGCTTGAGCTAGGTCAAGCTTTGCAAAAACACGCCCCCCCTTGAGAGAGGCCAGGATGTGACTGACCACAGGAACAGGATAGGCATGTTGCTGCAATGCCTTATTGAGTGTGCATTTGTAATCAGCACAAATGCGAATGTCCCCATTTGCCTTTAGAGGCGTGACAATGGGGGTCTCCCATGGGCTGGAATCAACAGGTTCTAGGATTCCTTGTTGGATTAGTTTGTCTAATTCAGTGTCAATCTTACTTTTTAAAGCAAAAGGGACCCTTCTTGCTTTAATCCTAATGGGAGTGACAGTGGGGTCTAGCTTTAAGGACACAGGTGGTCCTTTGAATGTGCCCAGCTGGGGGCTGAAAACATCTGCAAATTCCTTGCAGACTTCCTGTAGGTCGAGTGTTTGTAAGCTGTTGAGTCCTGTGACGTGTATCCCCAGGGCCTCAAACCAATCGAGTCCTATGAGACTCGTTCTTTCACCCCCTACTACTAACAAGTCTAGTGGACCTTCAAAACTCTTGTATTGCACGTTAAGGGTGGCCTCCCCCTTAACACACACTCTTGAGTTCTGAAAATCAGTTAATACAATATCAGAAGGCCTTAACTTGGCCTTAGTCCCACTACTGGAACAAATCTTCCTAAATGTATGCAATGAAATGATGGAAAGGGCAGACCCTGTGTCTAGTTCCATAGATAATGGAACCCCTTGTAGCTTCACGTTGAGTGACAGCTTTTTCTTCATGGGCTTGTGTGTGCCTGTCCTACAAATGTTTCTACGCGAAGCGCAAAAACCTACCCTATTCTGGCTGGGGACTCTGGTACCCTTCAGGCGTTCTTCTTGAGGTTGTGCCTTTCGTCGGCCCAGACACACAGCTGCAATGTGCCCTTGTTTGCCGCATGCCCGGCAGGTAGCGGAGCGGAACTTGCAGTCGGTTCTCCTGTGGCGACCTCCACAGCCGATGCACTTGAGCGGAGCTGAAGAGCTTTCCTTCTGATTTTCTCCCTTCGCGGGGTGTAGACGGTCGACTTCTTCGTCCGGATCCTCCTCGGAGTTTCGTCGGACGTCTTCTTGGTGCACGGACGCACCCTCTGCACTGCTTCTGATCGGCCGCATGTTCTTGACGGCGCCGCCTGCTGCTTCTTCCGCGGTGGCTTCCCTTAAAGCGTCTTGGAAGGATAATTCTTCCTTAGCGAAAAGTCTCTGTTGTAGCTCTCGATGCCTCAACCCGCACACGAATCGGTCCCTCAGTCGTTCCTCGAGGTCCTTGAACTCGCAGGGCTTGGCGGCCTTCCGTAACGCGGCGATGTATTCCTTGGCTGACTCCCCGGACCGTTGATCCCTCTGCTCGAAGGTGTGGCGCCATGAGATAACGGACACCTTGGGGTGGAAGTGGTCCTTCAGCAGCTTCTTCAGGTCTGCGTAGCTTACAGACTCTACTGGAACAGGTGCTGCAAGGTTTTCTGCGATTTCGAAGGCGTCTTGGCCGCAAGCGCAAAGCAGGGTGGCAGCCTTCAAGCTATCTTCCCTCACTTGGTTTGCCTTGAAGTAGTTCTCCATTCTGGATACGTAGGACTCCCACCGCTCTGGATGTGAGACGTCGAATTCCGCAAGCCTTCCGATTTTCGCCATCTTCGGATCTTCAGGAGACGGGTCTATCAGCCAGCCTACCCCCGAATGCGCACTGGATTGGCGGGCAGCTGCTGAGTCAACACCGTTCCTCTTCCGCCGCTCAGGACTCCTTGGGTAAGCTTACACTTTTTCCTTTCCAGGTAGTGCAAGGCATCCCACCTTCGTCGCCAGTGTTGCGTCCTTGGCGGGAAAACAGACACGAGAAGCAGCTGGAGTTCTCAGTTCTTTTATTCAGCGTTCAGCTTACAGGAAGATGGCTTCAGCTCAGCCCAAACGCCTCACAGCCTCTTATATAGGCAACTCCCGGGTAAATGGGTTACTTTTCCCGCGCCAGCACCCGCGCATGCGCACGGCGCTGGCGACAGCCTGTCTGGTCCCGGGCAGCTTTGCACCTGCCCGGGACTGCCTGCAAACGCCCGAGCCGTTTGCAAGGCTCGGGACATAACAGAAACCATTACCATATTGACTATTTTTAATTTGCTTAATGATTCCAAGTATAGAATTTGAGCTATTGATCAGGATTCCAAAACCCATTTCCTGCCCAGTCACTGGAAAGTTTACACACATATGCACACAATAGGATTTGCTGAGTGGTAGTGCACCTGCTTTGTATGCAAAGGATTTCAGTCTCAGCAACTCAGTTTCACACAATTGCACGAAGCATTAAATTGGGTTGGTTTTATTTTACATAGGATGTTATATGAATGTAATCATTGTCCCTTATTTAAGCTAACTATGGCTTTCTCTGATGCATTATCCCAGCCATTTTAACACAGTTCTATATATAACTTTGCCAATGTTTTTTTTCCCTATGGCATAAATGGGGACTCAAACCTTTAAATATCGCTTGACCCAAGTTCTAATCAGCTCCACCCCACATCATTAAAGATAGTTGGAAGCCTAGAGAACCCCCAAATTCCTCATCTTTGGAATGTAATTAGACCAGTCGCAAAACCATTGGTGAAAATTGTTTTTGCTCTAATATAAAAAAATGTGCCTTGTGTAAAAGAAGTATTGTTTCTTTTTTGTTTTGTTCAACTGGAATCAAAATTGTAATTTAAGGACCCTAGCCTGGTTTGCATTTAAATAGGCTTTCCATCTTGTATGAGATGCTTAGTGGATCATGGAAGGAGTATGTCATGCAAACAAGAAAATCTAGTTATATAAACTACATAACCCAGTGCAGTTAGTTTCCTCGTGATGCACCCCTGCCATAGATGATTAGTCTTCTTTAGGGGATAAGACTATGATGTCTTCCTGCGACATATAACAAGCTTCTTCTTTTAGTAGACAAGTTTTTCTTGTGTCAGCATTAGAGAGATGGGCCTGCAGTGTTAGATTCCAAGTAAAGTTGCAACCATGTTGCTAATGTTAATTCCAATTTTGCTATTGCAAAGCTTATTGGATGGATAGAATTTAATATTACCAGGTCCTCATTGTATAAAATCATCAAAGGATTTGTGAATAAGTCTTGGGAATAAACAAGTCCTAATTGAAATTCTGTTAAAAATAAAGGGCAAAATGATAATGACTATGCAATGAACCAAATAATAATACTTCACTGTTTTCTAGTTTGCTTTTATAAAATTGAATATACTTTATATATATATGTATGATTTCCCATTTTCTTTTAAGAAAGTAGTATATACAGTATGAGTGACTAAACAGTCTTCCAGACAAGGTTCCCATGATATTGTTTAAATATTGAAAAAGAGGTACATTATATAATTGAGAACTAAGATCCTTTTGGCCTTATGGCCAGTTATGTCACTTTGGCAAGAGACATGACTATTGTATTACATTGGGGATTCATTCCGTATTACTGCATATACCCTGCTGTGTTTTACTACTGAAAACCTTGTAACTAGTGGTGGGATTCAGCTGGTTCGCACCGGTTCATCAAAACCGGTAGCTAATTTTTGCTGCATTCGGAGAACTGGCTGGCTTCCAGAAGTTCAGTCTAGGCCTCAGAGGCCTGGAGGAGACCTCCCAGGCCTAGAATGGCCCACTGGAAGTGCATGGATGCCACTTCCAGAAGCCTATTCTAGGCTTTGGAGGCCCATGCCTGTATCGAATAAGAGAACTGGTTGTTCAGGTATTTAAATGCCACCATTGTACGTAACATATTGTTCATTAATAACTTATGAGAACATCTATTGAAAATTAAAGTTCCTGAAGTTAACTGTGCTGGAATCACCTTATATATTTAGCCATAACAAAACTTGCTTGATGTTGGAATTTTGTGATGTGAGAGCAGTACTTTTATCACACGGTTTATAATACATTGTGTGAATATGGCCCACATATTGCCTTTAGAAGGTAATATTTCTGCATTCTATTCATTTTCTTACCACAGCTGGTAAGTTAGCTTGCTATGGGCTCATGAAATGTTTTCCTGTATCCCAGACAAATAAAAATAGAGAAAGAGAAAATTACAAGAGGATGGAATTTTTTTTAACTTCTGTATATTAGATCAAATTGCTCTGCTGGAGATATATTAAAGAATCAAAGAACAACTATTGTTCTTGATAAAGAATTTGTAATTGGGCCTGGATTCTAAGTTAAAGTGGAGGTTTTTATTTAGTTTTATTTTATTTTATTTATTTAGTATACTGCGTGAATCAATATTGCAATTTGTAAACCATAGTTTATAATTCTACATTTTTTGTGAATCAGAGAACCACATTGTGGTTTGTTTGAAATCATGGCTAGGCAAGTCATGGCTTTATGTGAGGTGTGAGACTAGCTTGCATAAATCAGAATTGTTTATGTTCATTCCACTATCATTAAAGTTTACTAATCTCTCTTTTCTCTTTCTTTCTTTGGGCATAATGATGGGACCCTTTTTTGCCAGTCTTGCTTTGCATCTGCCCTGTGCATTCGGTGTGGGCTTGTGTCCGTTCCTGTCCCGCCAGTTGTGTCTGCACTGAAGAGAAGAGTTGTGCCATTCTTTGTGACCGAACTGGCCTTGCACAGATCCCTAATGAGTTTCCTTGTGAAGCATATTCTATTAACTTGGATAAAAATAACATCAAATTCCTTGCTGAGAGGGCATTTGGTACCCTCCCAGCCCTAAAATCTCTCTCAATAAGCCATAACAACATATCCTTTATTACTCCTGGTGCTTTCAAAGGGCTTGCTAGCTTAATTGAGTTAAAAATGGCCCACAATGAATACATTCGTTATCTGCATACCAGGACTTTTATTTCTCTCCAGAGACTAGTTCGATTGGATTTAGCAGACTGCAATCTTTTCAACATTCCAGACAGGATTTTTATAGAACTTCCAGCTCTTCAAGAACTCTTCTTCTTTCAGAATAACTTCCGAAGGATCCCAGGAGCTATAAGAGGGATGGAGAATTTAACCCATGTTTATTTGGAGAAAAACAAGATAGAAGCAGTAGCATATAATTCACTTCTGGGCCTGATCCGGTTGAAATATCTCAATCTGCAAGTCAACAGAATAAATGTCATTCATAATAGAGCTTTTCAGGATTGCCAGAAACTGGAGTATCTTTATTTAAATGACAACTTTATCAGTGACCTCCCTGATAATTCCTTTGATGGTCTGCGGCATCTAAAGATGCTTAATCTTGGTGGTAACTTTTTCAAAATTGTCTCTAATACTTGGTTCCAGGATCAATCTGAACTGGAAGTTTTGTATTTGGATAGAAACTGGATCAGTTATATTGAGGAAGGTGCTTTTGAAAACCTCACAAGTTTAGTATATTTGCACTTGAACAGTAACAATTTAACTACGTTGCCTTTCTTAGTCTTTCAACCAGTCTATCTCCTAGGAAGACTCTACCTTTTCCGGAACCCCTGGGAATGCGATTGCAAGATTGAGTGGCTGAAAGAGTGGATGGAGAATTATGGACTTGTGAGAGATATTCCTTGCACTTCCCCATCTTCAGTAGTTGGCCTTGACTTAATTGATGTTATTTTTGAGAAGACAGATGAAGGTTTATGTCTTGACCCAGAAGAATTAAACATCTCATCTTCTACCCCTCTTCCCATGCAAGAACTACAGTCAACTACAGAGAATAAATTCAACAGTCTTATCTCAAAATTTCTACTCCAGAAGGGACTTTCAGAGGAGGCGGTAAACACCACAGAAGGTTTCAGCAACACTACTCTGTTAGATGACTTGATTAATAAAGCATCTTTAGGACAAGGAGAATGTAATACAAAACAAATATATTTTAATATTTGGGTATTCTTTGTATCTCAAGTGTTATGGACCATATAGCCCAAAATTCTTTAAAATTAATTTGACTGTTTTTCTACTCAAACAATGGACCAAAAGAAGAAAATTGTGATATCAATACTATATTTAGAACTAAATTTAAAAATATCTTCTGGGCCCATATTTTAAAATAGATTCATATTCATAGCAATGACAGTTATTTCACATAGTTAAGAAATTAAAATGAGAGAAAACTGGAAGGTAATAAAGCCAGTTGTGTTTATTAAGGAAGTTCTGCAAAACACATCACAGGTTTCAGCAATATTACTCAGATATGGAAACAGTACTATAGTATTTAGAGGTTCTGAATGAAATGGAAGCCAAAAGAGGAGTAACTTCCCCTAGGTTTCAGAGACATTTGGTACCAGTTGTGGGAAATGATATATTGATTTAGATCAAACAATGTCAAATTCTCAGTTTCATTTTGTCATTTTAACTCTGCTTAAGAGGGAGGTTTGAACCCTGCAGTTAGGGCTGGAGGGCAATTTACTTCTTAATAAAAAAAACTGATATTCATAGGGATTGATACTAATAGAAGACACTATTTGTAGCTCAGGGTTGAATTGTTGATATGCTGAAGGATGGAAGATGTAACCTAGTTGGATAATGAAACATCTCCACGAAACAACCAAGCTCAGTGAACACCAAGGACCCTCCAATAGGGATTGATACAGTAGTTGTTGTCCAGTTTGTGACTGACTTAAGCAGGTCCTCATATTTTTTTCTATGAAAACTGCCAAAAGTATCTCTGTAATGCTTTAAAATAAGGAGCAAACTTATGCACTTACATTGTCTGTGTTACACTCTAGATCTCAGAAACTGAAAGGCATAATAAACAAACTACAAGCTCACTCATGTCCATTTGACTTTTCTTTGCCTGTGGGTGGTTTAGTATGAAGTATTGAATAAAGAGCTGTGGCTATATAGAACAGCGGCATATATCAAGTATAAATATTATTTTAATAAAAGCTTTAATTTTTTATTGTTGCTCATGGTTTCACATTTTGTAGCTGTTTATGTAGCAATGCTCAAAAAAGGAATCAATATATGTAGCATACAATGAGGTTTAAGCATCACTCCCCTTCTATAGAACATAATTACATTGGTGCTTCCAATGGCCCCCAACCTTACTGGAGTTTAGGAAAGGTTGAAAATATGTTTGTTCTAGTGAGCTTTGGAGGTGGAGATGTTGTAAGGTTTTTCTTTCTTGTTTGTTCAGATTTTTTATTAGTATGTCCTGGTATGTAAAACCATAGAACTCAAAGAGGGTGTACTTTCTTTTTCACACAACTGTATGTATAATTAATGTAAGAACTGAAATTTATTTATTAAAATTTATAAATTGTCCCACTCCCACAGGACTCCGGGCGGCTAACAATAAAAACACAATATAACTTAACAAGACAAACAATACAGTAACATTCATCCAGGGGTCAGATTTTATAAACCCCAGGCCTGCCGGAAAAGCCAGGTCTTAAGCAGCTTGCGGAAAACCAACAGGGTGGGAGCGGTCCTAATCTCCGGGGGGAGCTGGTTCTAAGACGTGGGTGCCATCACAGAGAAAGCCCTCCCCCGCTTGGCCGATGGGACCTGAAGGAGGCCCAGCCTGTGGGATCTAACTGGACGAAGGGAACTATGAGGTAGTAGGCGGTCTCACAAATAGCCTGGCCCTGGGCCATATAGAGCTTTAAAGATAATAACCAACACCTTGAATTGGACCCGGAGACCAATAGGCAACCGAGGTGGCGCAGCAGTTAGAGTGCAGTACTGCAGGCCACTTTAGCTGACTGTGTTCAGCAGGTCAGCGGTTCAAATCTCACCGGCTCAAGTTGACTCAGCCTTCCATCCTTCCGGGGTAGGTAAAATGAGGACCCAGATTGTTGGGGGCAATGTAAATATACATTGCTTACTGGTGTACACTGCTTAGAGAGTGCTTGCACTTAAAGCGGTATATAAGTCTCATAAATAAATAAATAAATAAATAAACCAGTGCAGCTTGCGGAGGATAGGTGTAACGTGGGTGTACCGAGGAACACCCGCTATCACTCGCACAGCTGCATTCTGGACCAACTGTAGTCTCCGAATACTTTTCAAGGGTAACCCCATGTAGAGCGCGTTGCAGAGTCCAGGTGTGAGGTGACAAGGGCATGAGTGACTGTAAGGAGAGCCTCCCGGTCCAGGTAGGGTCGCAACTGGTGCAACAGACGAACTTGTGCAAAGCTCCTCCCAGCCACAGCCGTCAAATGATGTTCCAATTTCAGATGTGGATCAAGGAGGACACCCAAGTTACGAACCCGCTCCGAAGGGGGTATATTTTCCCCTGCTAGAGTCAACACTGGATAGTTAACATGATCCTTGGGAGGCAACATCCAAAGCCACTCGGTCTTGTCAGGATTGAGCCTGAGTCTGTTAACCTCCATCCAGACCCTCACGGCTTCAAGGCAATGGCCCATCACATCAGCTGCTTCACTGAGAGAGCTCGGGAAAGAGATATATAGCTGGGTATCATCAGCATACTGATGAAACCTCACCCCGTGCTGTCTGATGATCTCACCCAGCAGCTTCATGTAAATGTTAAATAGGAGGGGAGAGAGGACCGACCCCTGCGGCACCCCGCATTCAAGGGGCCTCGGGGTTGACCTCTGTCCCCCCACCAGTACCGATTGCGACCGGCCAGAGAGGTAGGAGAACCACCGTAGAACGGTTCCTCCCACTCCCACCCCTCCAAGTCGTCGCAAAAGGATACCATGATCGATGGTATCAAAAGCCGCTGAGAGGTCAAGTAGCACCAAGACAGAGGAATAACCCCTGTCTTGGGCCTGCCAGAGATCATCCATCAGCGCAACCAAAGCAGTTTCTGTGCTGAAGCCGGGCCTGAAGCCAGATTGAAAAGGGTCTAGGTAATCCGCTTCATCCAGAGACCGTCGGAGCTGGAGCACCACCACTCTCTCTACAACCTTCCCCAAAAAGGGGAGATTGGAGATTGGACGGAAGTTATTTAAATCAGCCGGGTCCAAGAACTGAAAAGTGACTTAAAACAGAGCCTCAACTATGGATGTCTGATGTGCAGATGAGGCATTTCTACATGGTAGGCAGGTAGGATGCAGTTCATACTGACACTTATCTAATTGAAATGCATATTTCAAACAGGGATACCTCAAATTTTTGTTTAGTTTTTCTGACCACCAATCATTGTGAAAAATAATGGTCAAACACTACTTGCATTTGGAGCATTCTTTGTTACTTTGCATTTCTATTTCCTTTTTAATCCCTAATTCTCTTTTTGCCTGCCTGAAATTGAGCGTTATCTACTGTATCTTTCATGTCTTCCAAAATTGACTAAATAAGTATGGGGCAGGAAGGAAGAGAAATGTGCTTGGTTGAATTCAGATTATCCAAGATCTAGCACGATTTCTAAATAACTGAAGAATAATGACCTAATTCCTCCTTAAACAGCAGTACAGTGAGTGGAGATATTTTTCTAAATAACATGATCCTCCTGACCTAGCTGAAACTAGACCTGAACTCCCTCCTCCCCCTCCCCCCCAAAGTTTTTCCACCTGGAAAGCCTTATCCATGAGAGCCTTCCCTAGCAGCCCCCTTCCAAGTGGAAATATTGCCAAAGCCATGCTCTTGAGTGGCAGAAACTGTAGCCGGTGTCTATTTGTTTCACTTCCAGCAGTGAAAAAATCTGATGAGCTTCATAGATGTGCCTTTGCCTCTCAACACAGGCTGTTCCTTAGAGATTGTAAATGCCAAGCCGTGCTCCCATTTCATCAGCTGCCATTCAAATTCTTTCTGCACCCTCTAAACCATGTGCTGCTTCCCCATATGTACTCCAAATAGATCTTTCCCCCCACTATTGTCAGAAACATTACCATTAACACAAATTTTGCTAGTTTCTCCTCGAGTCTACTTTCCAGCTTTGGAAGTGGATCTTGAAATGATTGACCATGATTTCTTACTGGCTTCCCCTTTGATTCGATTTGTAGGAAGCTGTCAAAGAACATAAAAAAATTGTGATCATGTGATCATAGCTCACTGCAACATCATAATTGTTAGCTGATTACCAAGCACTGGATCACAATAATATGATGGCAGGGATACTGTGATGGCGAGAACAGGACAAGACTGCCACTTATTCAGTGCTGTCTTAAGTTTGAATGTTTGGTGAACAAGTGGTTATTAAAGGAGGACCACCTATAGTCTGACACCAGCATCTACAGCTACTGAAAATGTTGTAAGAAACCTGCTCCTTCAAACTCAAGCTGCCAAAATTGCCATCCTCCAGCTTCTAGTTAGCTCATTATGCTTTCCATCCCACCCATCTCCTGTAGAAACACTTGGACTTTCTATAGCAGTACCAATAGGAGAGCCACTCCTTGGGCTCTTCTCAATTTCCATTAACGAATGATGTTGCAGAACTTGCTGGCAAACATACTGAGAAGAAGGCAATTCAGGAGTCTGTCATTACCCACCTCAAGTAATTCAACTGGAGTATGGTCCAATTCTACTAATCTAAGCCCTTCAGTTTTTGAAAACAAGCTAGCTATAAACTCTAGCTTTTCCTCTGATCTCACTAGACATGTTCCAGTATCATAGTCTGCTAAATGACACTTGCCCTTCCAGTAGCCCCTTCAGCTAATCTTTCTGAATGGCAGATTATATCTGGGGACTCAGTTTTTCTTTCATCCCTAGAGTGATTTTTTTTTTGCTCTAGGAAATATGGAAGCTCAGTTCCCATAAAATTAAACAACTCTACAGCTATTTCCTTGAGAATGACACCTGACCTGAGGATGGCATACTCATGGGGCATGAACACACTTATTTCTTCCAAAGTGTTTGCAGTTGTGTCACCCTTTACTCCCACTTTTCCTTAATATGTTCTCTTTGGCCACTGAGTTAAAAAGTATATTGTTAACCTTACTACTAATCAATATACAGTATATATATCTTCCATCCTGGAGGCCTATTTCACAAATCAGCAGAATTTGGGACAGTTGTGAAGATTGGCTGTTAGAATTGACAGTGCAAAACCAAGCTGCTCCTGCACCTTGGGGTGTGAAAACGGGCTGCTGCTGTGCTGCAGGGCACAAAAGTGGGTGCTGCTGTGCCACAGGGTGCAGAAACAGGGTGCTGTGCCACGCAAGAATGAATATTATGTGGGCACTAGCCCCACCCATAATACTGAATATTATGTGGGCACTAGCCCCACCCATTTGCATCACACGCGGCCCTGGGCTTGCGCACATGCATGTAAAATGCTTCCCCCTCCCTTTCTCTCTGGTCCGCCAACCGAGAAAAGTTGGTGACCTCTGATTTAAATGATGATTAAATTAACCAGCGGAAAAATCTGCCTTTATTATAACCTTGCTAGCTATAAGCACCTTATTGATTCTTATAAGGCAACAAATAAACTAAACTTGCTGTTCACTTGTCACTAACAGCCATTTTCCTTTTTAATTACCTAAAACAATAAATGCAAAACGATGATAAAATCCATGCTTTTAACATACTTTATAGAAATTTCAGCAGATGGTTACAAGCTGTAAGAGGGAGGAGGGGAAATCATTGATGAATTTCATAAGATTCCTCAAGTTTCCTGCAGATTGCAGCCAGGCCCCTCAGGTTTACAATAGGCCCCCTGAAATAAGGGCAATCATAATAAGCCTCTTAAATCCAATTGTTTCAATGGATCTATAAAGTTTACTTTTTAAAAATCTCATCTTATAAAGGTCCCTAAAGACATTTCTCATAGTATGGGTGCTGTGGTACGTCTTTTTTTGAATGCTAAATTCATTCTGAGATAAGGAATTGTACATGGTATTCCAAATA